CTTGGGAAGTAAAATGGATCACAACTAATCTCTGTCTCTAGAAAATGTTTTTGTTTTTTTTTTGGACTTGAATTTATACATTCGCAAACACTTACTAATACGAAAAAAAAAAGCTGCCGAAAACTTAATTTCTGAATTGTCGAGAACAATCTCGCCCAAAAATTACCGCTATTTTATTTTCAAGTCCCATCACCAACATACGAGTTATCTATGACACAATTTTGATTTTGGCACTTGTTTTTATTTCAGTTCGGTTTTACCTGTACTAATTTTACAGGGTGAAATTTGAACTGGTGGATCCAGATGATCACGTACCCAAAGTAGAACCAGTAGAATCCGAACCTGGATTATCCTGGTAGGTACCACTGCCACATTTATTCAACATATGTGAGTCACCCATTTTAGGGAAGTAAATCCTGAAACGAACAAAATCGTGTGGCGCTGTGATCTATGTCCAAAAAGTTACAACGGCAAAAGCACGTTGACCAGACACCGCTCTCGCCACTTCGAGCCCAAACACCCGTGTCCAAAATGCGGAAAACAATTTCACAACGACTTCAGCGTAAAACAACACCTCTTCCACGTCCATTCCAACCAGAAAGATTTCATTTGCCACATTTGCCACTACGCAACCTTGACCAAGTACTCTTTGCAACTACACATAATAAGAAAACACACGAAAGATTTTCCTTTATCCTGCGACGTGTGTGGGAAAGGGTACACAAAACGCCACTTACTAGATGCCCATCGCCGCTCTGTCCACGAGGGCGTCGAACACGCTTGTGAAGAGTGCGGCAAGACATTCAAATACGTTCACACGCTGCAAAACCACCGGAAGCTGCACACTTCTTCGACGAAAACTAGGGCAGAAGTTAAATGCGAATTGTGTGGAGAGAAATTCAAACACTTGAAAGAACACATGGCGAGGGTGCATGTTGCTGTGAAGACGTTCGTGTGTGAAATTTGCGGGGAAAGTTTTTTCACGAATAATCTTCTGAACATGCATGTGAGGCGTAAGCATAAGAATGAGAAACCGTTTAAGTGCGATTTGTGCTTTCATGCTGTTTTCACGAAGAGGGAGTTGGACGCACATGTGAAAAGAAGACATTCCGATAATGAAAGCGCCGAAGACATAAAGGAGAAACCTTTTCAGTGCAGTTTTTGTAAATCGCGGTTTAAAGCTAGTACGAGTTTGATCGATCATGAGAGGAAACATACCGGTGAAAAGGCGTACAGTTGTAATGTTTGCCAGGAGAAGTTTTTTTCGAAGTACTGTTTGAAGTCTCATGATTGTGGTGGTATTACAAAGTTACAGATGGCTTCGAAGTAGCTAGTTGTGTGAGATTGGTGATATGCAGAACGATTGTGGTCGTTTTTTGTGAAGAAACAGTTTCAAAAACGGTGCTTTTTTTATTATAATAATGACAATAATCTTTCAAGGTAGAGAAAGCTTTTGTGTCTGATCCTTCCCATCATCAATCGTTATTACATGTATACGAACAAAATTGTACCGAAAACATTGCTTTGTAGTTTAGTGTTTTAGGTCCAACGTTGACATGAAACTTTCCAAAATGGTGTGAAACTGTTTAGTCACAACAGATATGTCATCTAACCTATTATTATTGATCGAAAGTTTGCACAACAATATTTGGGAATCGATGTAATCGAAATATAGAGTTTTTGTTTTTGTACCTATTTATTTTAATTTATGTTTCATCTATTTTACTTATTTTAGGTTATGTTATTAATTGGAAGAAGATTTATATTGTAGGTTTTTTATATAAAGAGCTGTAAGTATGAATGTGTGTTTTTTTACAAAGTGTGGTTACAAAAGTTGCGCTCTATTATCTTCTCTCTCATCGTCTACTACGCACTACAGGGGTTGAGAAAGACAGCTGTTCATTCCGTGCCAACTAGAGCACGGAGTGTTCATTCCCCGAGTTTACAAGCTTATAACAGAAATACGAAGTCTTGAGTTAAAAAAAGCTGTGACTTTGAAGACATGACCGACATGCGAAATTAGATCTTTTTTGTGTATACTAAATTTTGTGATATCGTGTTTTATGAAGTGATAAGGTTTTGGTCGTATTTATTTTTGTGGTAAATATACCATGTTTTGACGTGTTGTGTTGGAAAATGACGCGTTTAATAATGTTGATTGAAAAAGAGACCTCACACTCAAAATTTGCCAGAATGTTGTAAGTTGCGTTGAACAAAATAGTTAAACGTTTCATTTTATTTTTTTTGTGAGCCTAATTTACACTTAATAAGGAATTTATTACCATAAAACTATTTTTCGCTATATGCTCTGTTCACCCAGAAGTTGAAGGGACACTTTTTTAAATGATGCGTAATAGGTATGCTTTTCCTCACTGGGGTCATTGTAAATTGATTATATAGATTATAGTTTAGATTTTTTCTAAACGCGATTGTAAAGATAAAAACTGATTACGTATACATATATGTAATATTTCGCTTGCTTTGATAATAATTCGCTTCAAGGTTTAATATAAATAATATAATTTTTTCGAATTAATTTTGTTTCGCTGTTATCGATAAGATAAATAAGGTTTTAAGAGTATTTATTTGTTTCTAATAATAATGAAAAAAAATCTTTAAGTTTTTGTATGTATATATTTATATTATATAGGGTGTATTTCTCGACACCTCCAATAATTGTTAGGATAAAAAAAAATACTGAACAAAATTTTGAATAAAACGCCCTGTATATAATATATATCCTGAATAAGCTCCTCTTAGTCTTTACAAGTATATTTTATTTTTGAAATGCCAATGCAAGATTGCTAAGTTGTTCCATTTTTGTTGAAAATTTTCAGAATACAAGGGTTCACCAAAAAACTCACACTAGTTGTTTTATCAAATACGCCAGCCTGTATTTTATTACTGCAGTTTACTTTATTTTGTATTCTTCTTTTTTGTAGGGCCTATCGAAAGAAAGGGAACAAATACGTATTTTGTAACACCCTGTATAATAAAACTTAATTGCTATTACAAAAAAGTGCGTATCTCGGTTAATTTCTCCATAAATATTGTAACACAAGTTATAAAAATAACAGATTTTTTTTGTGAACCCTTGCATTGCTTCAAAAAATTCAAGAAAATTGGAACAATGTGACAACGTCGCATCGGAATTTAAAAAAATAAAAAATGGTTACAAAGCCTAAAGTGAAGCTAATCAGAATATCTAAAAATATATAGGCTGTTGTATTAAAAAAAACTAAATTGTGTGCCATGTCTGAAAAATAGGACACCTCGTGTTATTGAAAGTAGTTGGGTGTATGCTACTCAAAGAATGATGTAACTTAAGTTCTAATTTTTTTGTCTTATCTCTATTAATTAACGAAATATAGTGGTTAGTGACACCCTGTAGAGATTAATTAATCCTTCAATTAGTTGTCAAACTTTGAATCAAATTTTAATGTTTATTTTTTTAAATCACAAAGGATATGGAAAAATGGACTCTCGAAGAAGATAAATTTATTATTGAAGCCTATTCTCGGGTCTGCCAAAATATTGATGGAGAATGGCAGTATTAAACTTGTGTCTCCAAAACTCATAAGTCGTCTTTGTGGCCCTCTAGGTATAACACCCTGTATAACTAAGGAATAAAAATGCGGGGTTCTATGTGAAAAAAACTGAAATACGAATATTTGAAAATTGCGTATTTTAGATGTTTCTACAAATACTCTGTATATTAAAACTCAGTTGTATTGACACTTTACTCTATTAAATTTTATTAAGAAAATGGGAATAACTTGGCAACGTTAAATCGGAATTTAAAATATAAAATATACATAGTTGTCTAAGAAGAGGCCAATCAGCAAGTTAAAATATATAGGGTGTTTCAACTAAATAAAAACTAGGTTTATTGAAGTCTCTTAAAAGCAGACCACCTTGTACAATTGACAACAAGTTTAGTTGATGCCTCTCACAGCACTGTCCGTAATTTTTTGGCTCACCATGTAAAACTGAGTCAGCAAAATATTGAACATTGACTTTCTCTGATTGGAAATCATCAGTAAGCCGCTTAGGATTGTGGTACGTAATATATTTTAGATTTCAGAGAGGTAACCAAAAAGGAGTAAGCACTTTTGGGAACATAAAGCCAATGTTCATTATTTGGTGGACTCTACTTTACATCGGTATGTTACGATATAAATGAGTAAACAGTTACAATAAACTGAAAGAATATTCTGTTACATGGGGAAATTGTATGTTACTTTTTATGTGTTTGCGACAGTTTATGAAAATTAAACGGTCAGTCAGAGGAGATATTTTTTACATCACAAAGCAAAAACGAACGAGTTTTGGATTTTTGGAAATGTGAACAAAATAATGAAGGAAACTACCCTGTATAAATACCTATATTATTAGTATTCTTATTTTGTACTTTGTGACGCAACAGGCAATAGAAAGTTGTTCGAAAATTTCGAAGTCAGTACATTTTCAATAGTTATAAATTTTTTGTTTGATTGAAAGAACATAATGATCCTCCGCACCACCCTTATTATTCTTAAGTCAGTTTAAAAAATATACAAAAGTGAGTTCAAATTTTTGAAAACAGAAATTTCTTGTTTTCGCAATTTTGTGAAACTGGCGAAGATATTTTTGAAATTTAATTTGTATATGCGATTTTTTATAAAATGTCACTTTTTCAGTTTTAATACCGCCTTATCGTCACCTGTAGCACAGCTTGAGCAGCCCTATGTTAAAAATTTAACTGACTTGGTGCAAATATTCTGACAGTTGTTCATGGAATTTATAACCTGGTGAGGGCACTCTTTTTGGAAATTAAATCACAATAAATGTTGTAAAGAATTTTTGCGATTTAGTTATCCAGAAAACTGTCACCAAACCGAACTGCTGTCTTCTACAGGCAAAAATATTTCACAGAGAAACTATATCTTAGGATATTGTTTTCCGGTTAATTCGGCAATAACTTGTATTTTAGACCAGTTTTACGTATTTTTATTTTCCAGGATACACTTTGAAATGGTACATCTAGATGGTGGCTTACCGAAAATAGAAGTCACCGACTCTGACTCAGCACCATATACGTAAGTATGACGGTCATAACCTGCTAGTTTCGCAACCAAAAATATTGTTTTTAGGGAAACGTGGACTTGTGATCTGTGTCCAAGAACATATAAGTACAAAAGCAATCTGACCAAACATCGCTCACACCATTTCGAGCCCAAAAAACCATGTCCGCAGTGCGGAAAATGCTTTCACGACGAATCTAGCGTCAAACAACACATATTTTACGTTCATTCGAACAAAAAGGATTTCGTTTGCCATATTTGCGACTACGCAACTTTGACCAAGTACTCCCTACAGTTACACATTATCAGAAAACACACCAAAGATTACCCTTTATCATGCGAGATTTGTGGTAAAGGTTACACAAAGAAGCACATGCTTGATGCCCATCGTCAGTCTGTCCATGAAGGAGTCGAACACGCGTGCGAGGAGTGTGGAAAATCCTTTAAGTACGCTAGAGGCTTGCAAGAACACCGAAAGATACACGAATTCACCCCCAAAAAGAAGGAAGAAATCAAGTGCGAGTTGTGTGGTGAAAAATTCAAATACTTGAAAGAACACATGTTGAGAGTGCATGGAGGAGTCAAAACTATGATATGCGAAGCTTGCGGGAAAAGTTTTTACACGAAGACTCTTCTTAATATTCATATGATGAGAAAGCACAAAAATGAGAGACCATATAAGTGTAGTTTTTGTTTTCACGGACTTGTTACAAAGAGTGAGTTGAAAGAACATATAAAGAGGAGACATTCAGGTAATGAGAGCATTGAAGTCATCAGGGAGAAACCTTTTCAGTGTAGTATCTGTGGAAAACGACTTAAAACAAGTGCTTTTTTAACGGACCATATGAGAAAGCATGCGGGTGAAAAAGCTTACACTTGTAACGTTTGTGAGGAAAAGTTTATTTCGAAACATTATTTGAAATCGCATAAGTGTAGTGGTGTTTCAGGACAGTTCTTGGAAGTGGTTTCCAAATAGCAACCACAGATTTTTGGGGTCCTGATTGATTAATATAGTTTGTATTAGGAGACAATACTTTGTGTATAAATGACGTTACAGAGATGAGTTTGTTTTGAATTATATTTATTTATTAATTGTTTCTTTTTCCGTTTTGCAGCGTTATTAGTTACTAGTTTCTAGTGAATAAATATTGTTTACCCAACCCTGTTGTGTTGTTATTTGTTCTAACTGAAGAAATCAAGAACGTGAAGTGAACCATTTCAAATATTCTCAAGTTTTCCCGAATTTTGATTTTTTTAGTGGTGGTTTTACAACCTAATATTATTTGTAATCGTTAGCGTTGGTGAATCTAAATCTACAAATATTTTTCTAAAGATATGAGATCCATTGTTATGGCACGAATGCACGTTTGTAAAACGAACCGTTTGCGACAATTAATGAAATAATTCCACTTAAGTTCTTGTTAACTCTAAAGGAACAATATTCTAACCACCTAAAGTCAAATTAAGAGGAGATTTGGCACCATGGTCTGAATATTTTCACATATCTTGCTTAAATAGTTAAATGGAGTTCACTAACTTTTTTTTTGCAGGAGGCTGATGCTGAAACGTGAACTTAAACATTTTGAGTGCGGAGTATGTTCCCAGTTTTTTGGAAGTTTTGATGAATATTCATTTCACGTGAATAATTCGCATGACGAACTGTTAACACCAGATTCGGGCTTATTAGGGATTCAATTCGCAGACATTAAATCTCTGATACCAAAGTAAGTATGACGTTTGTGTCTTAATTTTCTTTAAAGTAGTAGTGACCCACACACTCGAACTTTCACAATGATCAGTTTGGAAGAGCAAAAATTTTAAAGATACTTTTTTCGTAATTCTTAACTTTAAAATTCATTTTTATGTTGCATTCGTGTTTTTTGGTTACTATACTCTAAGGTCAGTTTTATGTTTTTCTTTTCAATTTGCAGAACGGATACTGAATTCATTATTGATAAAAGTTCAGATGAAGAAACAACTGAGTGGGACCAAATGTGAGTAAGAATGTCAAAGAAAGCGAACCTAGAATGATGCTTTGTTTGCAGAGAAGTATTTACAAGCAAGCAACCGGAAAAATGGAGTTGTGATATTTGTAACAAAATTCTAAACAGCAGAACCAGTTTTTACAGACATCGTGTCGGACATTCAGAATCTAAAAAACCGTGCCCATACTGTACCGGATATTTTAACCGTTACACCTTAAAACAACACATCCAAACTATTCACCTAAACAAGAAAAATTTTGTTTGTGATACGTGCAACTATGCGACTGTAAATAAGTATTTCTTAGAAAAACACATCATCCAACAACACACAAAAACCTACCCCTTTCCTTGCAACGTTTGCGGCAGAGGATTTATAAAACAATCGATGCTCGATGACCACCACCACCGCGAACATCGAGAGGGTGTAATACACGTCTGTGATGAATGCGGCAAAACTTTTAAAACAGACGCATCGTTAAGAAAACACCGAAAACTCCACGACCCTTCTCTCAAAAAGAAAGAAAAACCAATGTGCGAAATTTGCGGGGAAAAATTCATGTACTTGCAAGAACATGTGAGGAAGATGCACGGAGGGACCAAGTCCAAAATGTGCGAATTTTGTGGTAAAGGTTTCCACACAAAAAATCAGCTGAATATGCATATGATGCGAAAACACACGGGCGAAAAACGGTTCAGATGCAGTTTTTGTTTCCATGGAGTGGTTACAAAATCTGAGTTGGACGAACATATCAGGAGACGACATTCTGACTCCGAGAGTATTGAAGACGTGAGGGATAAACCGTTCCAGTGCAGTCTTTGTAAAAAGCGGTTTAAAATTCGGGGGTCTTTGACGGATCATATGAGGAAGCATTCTGGCGAAAAAGCGTACAGCTGTGATGTTTGCCAGGAGAAGTTTATTTCGAAACATTATTTGAAGTTTCATAGGTGCAGTGGTCTCTCTGAACAGTTGTTAAATGTGTCTTCAAATTAATGTAATTGTTCTATTGTTTATAGAATGCTTTAGGTGCCTGCTACGTAACTGTATTATTTTTCGAAAAATAAATTTTTTGAATTATTTGTATCGTGTATGCGTTTTTTTTCAACACAGATTGTTTTGTTTGTGTTTTCTTATTTTTGTAGCAATGGGGAAGTTTCACAAATACGAACTATATTATTATTTTTTTATTTCAACGCAGTAGGTACTCAGTAACTTACTGAGGTATTTTTCGAACTTCATGATAAAAAGTGGCATTAACGGTGATTTTTTTCAGGACTCTTTTTCATGTAAAAGAACGCGATAACCAGCGCACTTATGTGTGTAACACATGTTCACGAGCTTTCGGAGACTTCAATCTGCTTGTTAACCATCGTCAATCTCACTCAAAACCTGCATACACGGTGGTGATAACAACTCCAACGGAAACAAAATCGTACGTAACAGTATTTTATTTTTCTCGTTCTAGACGATCTTTTCAGGAACAATGACAAAACGTCGGAGGCTGAGACTGCCTATGTTTGTGAGTTTTGCTCCCGCATATACAAAACAGAGAGCTGTTACTTGAAACATCGTCAGTACCATTTGACTCCATTCACCTTGGATTGTAAACACTGCCACTACTCAGCACCTACGAAGTCTGAGTTGCTTCGGCACGTCGCTCTGAAACACACAAGAGAGAAGGTTTATAAGTGTGAAGTTTGTAGCGCCGGTTTTATTTCGCAAGCTCTGTTCGACAGTCATCGCAGGGCCAAGCATGAAAATAGACGATTTCAGTGTGATATGTGTGATAAGTGGTACCGGTACCAATCGAGTTTACAAGTTCATCAAAAAACGCACGACCCTAATTTTATAAGGAAAAAATTCATGTGCGAAATTTGTTCCAAGTTTGAGAGGACTGAATTCGAGTTGAATATTCACTTGGAGATGCACAAGAAGAAAGACGAAAAGCATACGACGTGTAGGATATGTGGGCAAATTTTTGCCACATATTATAATTTAAAATTGCATAGGAAGATTCATCCTAGATATAAATGTCATGTTTGTGAAGAATGTGGCGAGCAGTTTTCCAAAAAGGAGGACTGGAAGAAACACAAAGAGACCCATGAAAGCAAATAACTAATTATGTGTAGGTAGTTGTTAATGTCTTTTGCATTTTTGTGATAATGATTTTAGATGAATGTAAATAATAGGATTTGGTTTTTTATATTATATATTTTTATGCACTGTTCAAAGTTTTCGTATTTTGAAATTAAATCATTTTTCGTTTTTTTTCCTTTTTTTTAATGGAGAAAAGTGACATTAAATACCTAACATTTGTTGATGAATTCGCTTAAGTTTTAGATTAGAAAATTGTACTAAATTTTTATACATTTTTCTTGTGCTCTCGCATGGTATTCAAAACGTACGCCATTCTTAATTCAGAACTTTGAGTATTGAATGATTTTGTGTATCCCTTAAGTGCCTGATTAAAGCGAGACCGACTGACTGAGAATTTTACCTCAGTTCGGTTATGGGTTATAATGTATCAGGTAGTTGAAAAATTGTATTCGGCAGTTCGGTCGTGGAATGGAAATGTATCGCAGTTCGAACAGGGCGCTTGAAGCTTATCAAAGACCAATGAGTAATGACACTCTAAAGTGGTTAGCTTTATTTTCAAATATTCTTAGAAATAGTTTAAGTAACTTGACCACAAGATTGAAAACTTAGAAGGTATTCCGTATGATAATCCCGAGTACGACGCTGATTCAAATGTAAAACAAGAAGAAGAATAACAAGTTAAAATTCAAGCTCTGGCATCATCTGATGTTGGATTTTACAAGAAGCTGATCGTCAACGAGTAAACTGAAGGTTTGTTGATTGGAGAGTACGTATTTGGGTCACAAATTTGGACATAGTTGGATAATAACATGATAATATGTCTTCACTGATTGTTGAATAAAATGAACATAGAAGATGGGGTACCAAGAAATACGAGATATATAAGGAAGACAAAATAGAAGAAGAAAAAGCATTTGGTTAAAGATTCAGAAGTAGGTGTCAAAGAAATTTAGCGTTGAAGGTTATGGAAAAAGAATGTCTTCGAAGTGGTCTTATCCTGTCTGGATTGTGTGTGGAAACCCTGTAGAGGACGAAAGAATATACTGAGAATAGTGGTAATAATTGAAAATTTGACGATCTGCTTCAAAAATCAATTTCAGCAAATTATCGAATTGGAAGAGTCGAGGAAAAAACAAGTTGCAAAGGAATTATGTGTGCAAATGAGAAGAAATAGAGGAAATGCGACTCCAGCACAGAAGCACAGAATAGTTTAGCTTTGTCTGTCTAGATTACACTGTTTCCATTTCGGAAATATTTAATTCTGTACAAAATGTCGTATTTTACCAGCAGGATTAGTGGCATGAAGGTGGTCATTTTTTTTAAAATCCTTAATCCTGTGATGATGCCAAAGTTGTTCGAATAACGCGTCAGGATTTCGTATTTTCGATGTGTTCTCATTCCGAACAGCGACTCGTCGAGTTTATTCCAGTCACGGAGCAGTGAATCATATTGCGGCTTATGTTGGAGCTGATTATGTATGGGTATAAATCGAATGGAACCGTAGGTATAATGAATTTGTGACTCTGATAAGATCTAAACTTGGCCTCTTCATTTTTAAAATTGTTCTCTATAGTCTAATATCAACGTGGTGCTAATAAGGCGATTGTTCTTAAATTACATGCTTTTAATTGCGAATATTGTTTTTATTGATTGGCTCAGGAGGCTAATTACAAAATTTTTATACCGATAATGAGAATTTATTTGTGTCTCATTTTATAATACTTTTTTATGTAAGTTGTGTATGTCTGCAGACACTTGTTTTTGTAATATTTACTAAATTAAACTCATTTTAGGAATCTTGAATTTTATCAGCTACAAAAAGAAGCAGTAACGGAGTATCAGTGTAGTTTATGTCGCGACGTTTTTCAGGAAGTAAAACAACTGATACTACATAAAAATGAACATTCTGGATGTCGCTATATTCAAATAGTTCAGCCGAAAGCGTTCAACGTAGAAAGTGATTCGTTAGTATTACATTTTGTGTATTTACAATTCCTAATTATGTATTTACTTTTACTTTACAGCGACGACAGAAATTTTGAGGATGTTGAAAATATGAGTTATGGCTTATTTACTTGCGTGTGTTCGCAAACTTACGACTCGGAAAACTTATACAAACGCCATCGTACAAACTGTGAATCTATTAAATGCCACTACTGCAACGTCCTTGTCGACAAGTATGAAATGTACCGACACATGCTACTAAGGCATGGAGAAATGAAAAGATACAAATGTCACTTATGCGAATACATCGCCACCAATCAAATGAAATATGTGAACCACCTAAACGTACAACACGATAATCCAAACGTGAAAAAACCTAAACATCTTTCAGTTTTCAAAAAAAATTGTTCTTCGTGCTGTCACAATTTTTATTCAGAAGAAGACTTTCGACATCACTTGAAAGATTGTACAAACGGTTACAAAAAGAAGGAAAACGTGTCGTACGTTTGTGAAATATGTGGACATTTGTTTGCATCGTTACAGAGCGTAAAGCGTCACAGGGCTATTCACGACGATGTAAAAAATTGTGTTTGCCAGAAATGTGGCAAGTGTTTTCGAACTCTTCGCAATTTGGACAGGCACTTACGAACTCATTCGAACAGTAGGCCTTTTAAGTGTGAGGACTGCGATAAGTGTTTTAGGGATAAATCGCACTTGACGAGACATCGAATGGGACATACAGGGCGGAAACCGTATAAATGTGAACTTTGCAATAAAGAATGTATACAAAAGTGTAATTTAAAAAGACACAGATGTAATCCTTCAGGGGACTAAATTGATCGCCATTTCTTCCACTGTGTACATGTATATAGGTATATGTAAAGCGGAACTGTGTGCTCACGTCGAACATGTTTTTTTTTTGAAGTGTTTATTGAAGTCGTTTTGTAAAAACTAATAAATGTTCGTTTTTATTTTTTGAGGGATTAATAAAATAGCGAATTTGTTATCTTTCTCTCTCGTGTTCTTGTTTTTGTTTCTACGTAAAACCTCGAAAAACGGCTTGTGTTCGGCTTTTCAGAGTAAGTGCAACATGCCTTTTTAGTGTTATATAGTTTTCGTACCTTGATGTGATGCATCCAAGCTTTTAATTGTACTAAAAGAGCTATGTTCGTATAATTCAGTTTTGAAATACCACATGATCGAAATAAAACCTCTCCAGTAGACCATGAAATTTATTACTAAAAAATGATGTTGGCGTTGCAGTTACTTGATCGAAGCCTTCAAACCGAACAGTGAACGCCGTGATGTTGCCAACTTCATTATTATAAAAATAAAATTTCATGGCTCGCTAGAGAACTTTTTTTCGATCATATGGTAGTTCACCAAATAACTGAAATCGTTACTTCTGTGAATTGTGTTATGTAGTGTTATTCTGCACCGATTGATCAAACAAGATTCCAGAGTAAAATTTGTAGTAATTTAACATGGTCGAACAACAAATTGTAAATGCTTCCGATGTTTTAAGAAGCTTTTCCGTTCTTAATTCCTTCTACCTTTAGTTTTAAATTAATATCTGAGATATCAGTGCTGGCAGTAGCGGCTTGTCCATGGAGATGGGGTTAATTCATCAATGACCCCCCTCATGTATATAAAAACTGAATAAAATCTTTTATTTATTTTTTTTCAAATTTACGTTCAACAATAAGACAACCATTCTTATTCGCGATTCGTTGGGTCAGGTATAAATATTGACCTCACACAGCGTATTATACGTAGCGATTTCCTTTGAGTGGGAGTGAAATAAATTTAATAACAAAACATAAGAAACGATGGGGTTAATGACCACGTTTTACCGAAGATCAACGAATTGTGTTCGGCAAGATAACAACTATTTTGCACGTGCATTTATTAACACGTGCAACTGTGCAAGGCAGGTGCAGTATATTCATTTCATTTCATTTTCGTAAATTACGAACTCCAAACGTTAAACGTTAATTCACCGAAAGTGAATATCGTATGGCTATGTCCGCGAATCCAT